GAGTAGCTGGGATTACAGGCACTTGCCACCATGCCCAGCTAATTTTTTGTAGTTTTAGTAGAGACGGGGTTTCACCATGTTGACCAGGATGGTCTCGATCTCTTGACCTCGTGATCCACCCGCCTCGGCCTCCCACAGTGCTGGGATTACAGGCTTGAGCCACCGCGCCCGGCTGCAATTAAATTTCTTTAGAGACAGGGTCTGACTCTGTCACTCAGGCTGGAGTACAGAGGTGCAATCATAGCTTACTGCAGCCTGGAACTCTTGGGCTGAAGTAATCCTCCCATCTTGGCCTCCCAAAGTTCTGGGATTACAGGTGTGAGCCATGGGCCAACCTGTAATATGGGCCCAGCCTCAAGTTCTTTCTTTACAGGAAATGAGAGGTCCAGTTGCAGAGCAATCAAACTATCCTTGGACAGGAGTATAGAATGGATAGAACAGAATGGTTCAAGAATGGGAATGATATACCAAGATCACCCTGAAGCTCCTGGGAAATGACAGCAAAAATTTTCTCAGGGTCTGATAATGACTGAGATCTGAAGATTCAACTCCAATTTGGGATGTGTCACTGAGAAGTTGTGTCACTTGGTTAAGATTCTTGGCTTCTTTGGGCTCTGGTGATCTCCCCAGTCACATAGGGCTGGGTAAGCTCACTCAATGGGTTGCTGTGCATAAATAATGCATATAACACCACACAAACTAGATTCAGCCATGCAAATGATCTTCAATCTGCTCATCTGTAAGTTTCTGAAAGCCAGAAGATAAAGCATTTCAATATTTCACACACTCCACCTTACTCTATAAAAATACAAACACTTCGCCTGTGTCTGTCTTCTGCAGGACTCACCAGCTCTGTATCCTTGAGCCAAGGCTTTCTGCTTTCCAACCTTTAGCATCTCCTTGTTGATGTCACACACCATGACATGAGACCCGCCCAAGGAATCTTCTTCATTCTGGTACTCTTTGGCAATTTCTTCCCAGGATAAACTCTGTTGGGCCCTTAACTGCCTCTTCTGTTTTCTCTGATGCTGGGACTGAACATAATTTAGGAACCGGAATGCAATGTCACCTGTGAGAAGCCAACATAAGGAAAGACGCAGACTTAAACAAAAATAAAAAAGGAAGAAACAGCATTTCCTAAAGCCAAAAGGGGGTAACAGAGGCACAGGAGTACGTGTTAGCTAACTGCACTCAGTGTGGCTGAAAGGCAAGTCCTTTCTTCTTTCTGTTCAAGACAGGGTCATACTCTTGTCACCCTGGCTGGAGTGCAGAGGCACAGTCAGAGCTGAGTATGTGAATGTGAAAGTTTCTATTCATTTCAACACTTTTTTTTTTAATTTAAAAAATTGGGCCAGGCACGGTGACTCATGCCTGTAATCCCAGCACTTTGGGAGGCCGAGGCTGATGGATCGCCTGAGGTCAGGAGTCTGAGACCAGCCAGGCCAACAAGGTGAAACCCTGTTTCTACAAAAAATACAAAACTTAGCCAGGCGTGGTGGCACATGCCTATAATCCCAGCTACTTGGGAGGCTGAGCCAGGAGAATTGCTTGACCCCAGGAGGCGGAGGTTATAGGGAGCTGAGATCACACCACTGCACTTCAGCCTGGGGGATAGAGTGAGACTCCATCTCAAAAAAAAAAAATTTTTTTTTTTTTGGTAGAATCAGGGTCTCACTATGTTGCCGAGGCTGTCCTACAACTTCTGGGCTCAAGCAATCATCCTGCCTCAGCCTCCCAAGTAACTGGGACTATAACCATATACCACCCTTACTGACTAGTCTCTTTATTTATTTATATATATTTATTTTTGAGACAAGGTCTTGTTCTGTCTCCCAGGCTGGAGTGCAGTGGCACAATTATGGCTCACTGCAGCCTTGACTTCCTGGGCTCAAGAGATCCTCCCATTTCAGCCTCCTAGGTAGCTGGGACTACCGGCGTGTGCCACCAGATCGGGCTAATTTTTAAAAACCATTTGTAGATGGCCGGGCGCAGTGGCTCATGCCTGTAATCCGAACACTTTGGGAGGCTGAGGCATGCGGATCATCTGAGGTCAGGAGTTCTAGACCAGCTTGGCCAACATGGTGAAACCCCATCTCTACTAAAAACACAAAAATTAGCTGGGTGTGGTGGCGGTCGCCTGTAATCCCAGCTACTCAGGAAGCTGAGGCAGAAGAATTGCTTGAACCTGGGATGTGTAGGTTGCAGTGAGTGAAGATCTCACCACTGCACTCCAGGCTGGTGAAAGAGCGAGACTCCGTCTCAAAAAAACAAAAACATAACTTTTTATAGAGATGGGGTCATACTATGTTGCCCAGGCTGGTCTTGAACTCCTGGGCTCAAGGGATTCTCCCACCTCAGCCTCCCAAAGTGCTGGAGTTACAGGCATAAGCCACCGTGCCCAGCCTCTGGCTAGTACTTTTCATTTTCTTTCTTTTTTTGAGATAAGGTCTGGCTCTATCACGAAGGCTGGAGTGCAGTGGAGCAATCTTGGCTCACTGCAACCTTCATCTCCCAGACTCAAGCCATCATCCCACTTCTTTCTCAAGAAAAAAAGAAAAAGAAAAAGAAATCATGAGAGCGAGATCACAGCCAATTTCCTAAACAGGCCAGTTTAAATCTTCAGTTAGCATCAGAGTGAAGTTTCTTCTGCCCTAAGCCTACATAAAAAAGGTAACCTAAAGTGATATATAAACTAAACAGTTTTGTTTTGTTTTTTTGACACAGGGTCTCCCTCTGCTGCTCACGCTGGATGGAGTGCAATGGCATGGTCTCGGCTCACTGGAAGCTTCTCCTCCCGGGTTCAAGCAATTCTCCTGCCTCAGCCTCCCAATAGCTGGGATTATAGGCATGAACCACCAGGCCCGGCTAATTTTTTGTATTTTTAGTAGAGATGGAGTTTCACTATGTTGGCCAGGCTGGTCTTGAACTCCTGACCTCAGGTGATCTGCCCACCTTGGCTTCCCAAAGTGCTGGGAGTACAGGTGTGAACCACTGCACCCAGCCAATCCTGTGTATTTTAGAAACATGACAGGCACAAAACTGATATTCTATGCTTTCGATTGATACTCAGTCAAAAAGAGAAGTGAATGCCTTTCTCAGAAGTTTTAAGTATGCTGATTTTCAATGACCATCTTCAGCCTGTTAGGTGAGCTAGCTCATTACAAGACAAACTAATTTCTGTAAAACATGCTCAATGGTAGTGAAGGATACTAAACTCGATTATTACCTGTGCCTCCAGCAACATCAAGCAGCTGGGTCCCAGGAAGCGGATGCATCTTCCAGATCAGCAAATCCTTCCAAAGACGATGGATACCAAGACTCATCATATCATTCATCACATCATACTTCTTAGCCACACTTTCAAACACCTGATAGACTGACATGGGAGAAACACACACAATTGTGCTATTAACAGTATTCACTTAGAAAAATCCTAACCAGGCCAGGTGCAGTGGCTCATGCCTGTAATCCCAGCACTGTGGAAGGCCAAGGTGGGCAGATCACAAGGTCAGGAGTTCAAGACCATCTGGCCAACATAGTGAAACCCTTTCTCTACTAACAATACAAGAATAAGCCGGTGTGGTGGCTTGCGTCAGTAATCCCAGCTACTCAGGAGGCTGAGGCAGGAGAATTGCTTGAACCTGGGAGGCAGAGGTTGCAGTGAGCTCAGATCGTGCCACTGCACTCCAGCCTAGGTGACAGAGAGAAACTCGGTCTCAAAAAAAAAACAACAAAAAAGGAAAATCCTAAACAAAAAAGGAAGAAGCTTTTTTCCCCTGAAATGGCCTGTCTTTGCAAGATGAAACTAAGTCATAATGCTCGATGTCCAAATCTGCACTTTAACATTACCTCTTTATTTATTTTTCCTGCCTCAGGTTTATTTATACAAATAGCACAGGAGGATCCCAGCCCCATACAGACAGCACCGGGCGGGGTCACACCAGTCCTTCTGTCCTCAGGTTGAAAGACAACAGGCATCTACTCTGAAGCCTTTGTAGGGGCCTGAGCTGGAACTGAAGCTGGAGCTGCAGCCTGGGCCTTGGTTTGACCCTTGGCCTTTGGCAAGCACCGCCTGAGCCCCTTGGCAATGCGGACACGAGCACACTTTCTAAGCTTAGGGTGGGCAATGTAGGCCAGTCGATCGAGCTTGCAGCTGACACCCTTTGGGATCTTGGGCTTAACCTCCTTGGGCTTTACAAGGGCCTTGATAGCCTCGGCACATGCACTCATGGCCTTGGCATTGTTAGCCTGTATCTTCTTTAGGCCCTTCTTGTTGTGCTTTCCGGCAAAGTGCATGTTCCTCAGGAACTCGGGGTCCACCCCCTTAAGAGATTTGTATCTTTGTGATTGGGGTTTCTTGATACCATTTCTCTGCCATTTTTGGGACTGGTTGTGTGGGGTGTGGTTCTTGGACTTGGCCATGTCTGCACCCATCCTCTCTGCAGCCTGCGCCCCACAGTGGCCCGTACATCATGAATGGCATCACATTAGCTCTTTAATAAGAGGCTTAGCAGGCGCGGTGGCTCACACCAGCACTTTGGGAGGCCAAGGCGGGTGGATCACAAGGTCAGGAGTTTGAGACCAGTCTGGCCAAGATGGTGAAATCCTGTCTCTACTAAAAATACAAAAATTAGCCAGGCACGGTAGCAGGCATCTGTAATCCCAGCTACTCAGGAGGCTGAGGCAGGAGATTTGCTTGAACCCAGGAGACAAGAGGTTGTAGTGATCTCGACTCACAAATAAGAGGCTTAAATGTACTTCATGGAAGAAATTAATCTCTTTTCTAATGTCTTAATTATCGTTACTTAGGACTACTACTTTGTAATAATGCCATCCATATACCTAGTACTAAATAGATATTTCTTTCTTTCTTTTTTTTTTTTGAAACGGAGTTTTGCTCTTGTTACCCGGGCTGGAGTGCAATGGCACGATCTCGGCTCACTGCAACCTCCGCCTCCTGGGTTCAAGCAATTCTCCTGTCTCAGCCTCCCGAGTAGCTGGGACTACAGGCACGCACCATCATGCCCAGCTAATTTTTGTATTTTTAGTAGAGACGAGGTTTCACCTTGTTGACCAGGATGGTCTCGATCTCTTGACCTCGTGATCCACCCGCCTCGGCCTCCCAAAGTGCTGGGATTATAGGCGTGAGCCACCGCGCCCGGCCAGATATTTCTCTTTCTTAAAGGATGGGGTGAGGGAAATTTCAATCAAATTGGAATTGTTCTCATGGTTATTATAATAAAAGACAAGATCCATTAGAAAGATGCATGACGGGCCGGGTGCAGTGGCTCTTGCCTGTGATCCTAGCACTTCGGGAGGCCAAAGTGGGTGGTTCACTTGAGGCCAGGAGTTCAAGACTAGCCTGGCCAACATGGCAAAACCCTGTCTCTACTAAAAACACAAAAATTAGCCAGCATGGTTGCACACACCTGTAATCCCAGCTACTCAGGTAGCTGAGGCAGGAGAATCAGATAAACCTGGGAAGTGGAGGTTGCAGTGAACTGAAATTGGACCACTGCATTCCAGCATGGGTGACTGAGAGAGACTCTGTTTCAAAAAAAAAAAAGATGAAAGATGCATGATTAATGGATGGGAAGACCTCAGCTCATGTCTGCCTATATCACTGAGAAGAACCTTAGGTACAATTTGATGGGCACCTAGATGCCAAGCTGTGAATCAGGGCTAAGTCACAATTTAGAGTCCTCTCATGAGTCTTCTCCATAGAATCAATGCAGACTGTGGAATCTGAGATAGCTAAAGAGAGAAAGAGTCTACTATCCAAGACTCTCAGAAGTGTTTCCCTTTGAAGTTACATTTGACTGTTTTGCACCTCAGCTTCTCTCCCCATAAGATGACTATATCAGTGCCAGCTCCCAACTCCCTGCCAGAAGGCTGAATTGGATAATGAAGAGGAGATGCTTTGAGTTCCTCAGATGAAATGTGCTGCACAGATCCAAATATGACTCTCTTCTGCTGAATCAGACTACAGAGCCCGTCTTAAACTCAAGTCTTCAATGCCTATTCTCAACCTTGGGATTTCCAAGTGCGCTCTTTTTTCATTTGTGGATTTTTTTTTTTTTTTTTTTAGATGCAGTCTAGCTCTGTCACTCAAGCTGGAGTACAGTGGCACAATCTCTGCTCACTGCAACCTCTGCCTCTTGTGTTCAAGCAATTCTCCTGCCTCAGCCTCCTAAGTAGCTGCAATTACAGGTGCTTGCCACCATGCCTGGCTAATGTTGTATTTTAGTGGAGATGGGGTTTCACCATGTTGGCCAAGCTGGTCTCGAACTCCTGACCTCATGATCAGCCCACCTCAGCCTCCCAAAGTGCTGGGATTACAGGTGTGAACCACCTCGTCCAGCCTGCTCTTTTCTTTTGAGCATCTTTTGGAGTATCTAAGGGACACTAAAGCTAACCCACTGAGTATAAACAGTCCTTGCTGGCACGGTGGCATAAACCTGGAGTCAGAGGTCCATGGGGGAGGACTGCTTGAACCCAGGAGTTCAAGGCTGCAGTGTGCTATGATCGTGCCTATAAACAGCCACTGCACTCCAGGCTAGGCAGTATAGTGAGAGCTTGTGTCAAAAATAAACCAATAGTCCTTGCTTTGCATGTTCCAATATGCATGAATTTCAGTTACTGTGGATTAGCTAAATAACAGCAGTCCCCCAACACCACAATTCAAGAACAATGGTATATCAAATGTGAGTAATTACATAAAGTACATTCTTTTTTTTGAGACGGAGTTTCGCTGTTGTTGCCCAGGCTGGAGTGTAATGGCACGATCTCGGCTCACTGCAACCTCCACCTCCTGGGTTCAAGCGATTCTGTCTCAGCCTCCTGAGTAGCTGGGATTACAGGTATCTGATACCATGCCTGGCTAATTTTTTTTTTTTTAAACATAAACTCAAGATATTATTGTCTTCATAAAAGACGACACTTAGAACTGGATCACTTGGCCCTTTCTCTTCTTATCTCCTCCCAGTTCAAAATGCTTGCATCTTTTAATAGCCAGCATTCTCTTAGATCTGCAGTTGGGCTCAATGCACTCGAGCCTTAGCACAATCTTCTTTGTAGTTTTAGCCTTTTTCCGGAAAATTGGCTTAGTTTGCCCACCGTAGCCACTCTGCTTCCTGTCTTAACGCCACTTTCCCTGGGCATACAGAGAATCCTTGCCCTTCGTGTACTGTGTCACTTTGTGGGGCTGGTACTTGCCATACCACTTACAGAAAGTCTGGCGGATTTTAGGAACGTTCACCATTTTTGCACGAGCGCTACCGGCATGGAAAGCGCCTGGCTAATTTTGTATTTTTTACTAGAGAAGGGGTTTCTCCATGTTGGCTGGGCTGGTCTCGAACTCCCGACCTTCAGGTGATCCTCCCGCCTCGGCCTCCCAAAGTGCTGGGATTATAGACGTAAGCCACCGCACCCGGCCCTAAAGTACATTCTTTAGTCTACAAATCATTATGTAAATAACAGATACACGGCATGATCAGCAACCAATCACATACTTCTTTCACAGACTTTAGGTGACTGGTCACTGTACCAGTTACGCAGTTCACAGACAGCGGCAATTTGCCAAGGCATAGAAAAGCTATTACATATGACAAGAAGGTAGCAAATCATGACCAAACTACTCTTGGCAAATTTTTGACAAGGAAATAAAACAAATTCTCAAGGTTTCTAATTTTTTATTCGAACTTTTTTCTTTCTTTTGACAGTCTTGCTCCGTTGCCTAGACTAGAGTACACTGGCACAAACTTGGCTCACTGCAATCTCCACTCCCAGATTCAAACAATCCACCTACCTCAGCCTCCTAATTAGCTGCAATTACAGGCATGCGTCACCACGCCCAGCTAATTTTTGTTTGTATTTTTAGTAGAGATGAGGTTTCACCATGTTAGCCAGGCTGGCCTCAAACTCCTGACTTCAAGTGATCTGCCCACCTCAGCCTCCCAAAGTGCTGGGATTACAAGTGTGAGCCATCGTGCCCAGCTATAAATAAATATTAGCTTTAGTATACATTTAGTATATTTTTTCATTTCCCTATACATTTATAACTGACAGGGTTTTAATTATATCTATATTAGATATAATATTATATCTAATAATAAAATTATTAGAACAATTACAATTTTTCCCATTAAGGTCATTGTGCATAACTTCAGCTTGCACATTTTCTTTTTCTTTTTTTTTTTTTGAGACGGAGTCTCACTCTGTTGCTGCCAGGCTGGAGTGCAGTGGTGCAATCTTGGCTCACTGCAACCTCCACCACTCGGGTTCAAGCCATTCTCTTCCCTCAGCCTCCCGAGTAGCTGAGACTACAGGCATCTGCCACCACGCCCAGCTAACTTTTTGTATTTTTAGTAGAGATGGTGTTTTACCATGTTGGCCAGGATGGTCTCAATAACTTGACCTCATGATCTGCCCAACTTGGCCTCCCAAAGTGCTGGGATTACCTATGTGAGCCACCATGCCCCATCTTTTTTTTTTTTTTTTGAGACAGTCTTGCTCAGCTGCCCAGGCTGGAGTGCAGTGGTGCAATCTTGGCTCACTGCAACCATTGTCTTCCAGGTTCAAGCAATTCTCCCATCTCAGCCTCCTGAGTAGCTGGGATTACAGGAACCTGCCATCATGTCTGGCTAATTGCTGTATTTTAGTAAAGATGGGGTTTTCATCATATTGGTCAGGCTGGTCTTGAACTCCTGACCTCAGGTGATCTGCCCGTTTTGGCCTCCCAAAGTGCTAGGATTACAGGCTTGAGCTACCGCGCCCAGCTGGCTTACACATTTTCAGTCTTGCATTACTGTGCAAGGCAAGGACTGTCTATACTGCAATCTCAGTCCCCAATCTGGAACTAATGTTTAGTTCAGTAGGTAACTTCTTCCCTGCTTGCAACTGTGTGAAATGTTGATTATACTTTGTAAAGCACAATATGGAAATTAGGCATTATTATTATTATTCCTAATTACTGCGTAAGAGTATATACTTTGTGAGTAATCCACCTGAATTCAAATCACAGCTCTGCCTCTTATTAGGAGAATCTTGGGCAAGTGATTCAACATATTTGTTTCACATTTTCTTCATTTATAAAACTGGGCTAAGGTGGGCATGGTGGTTCATGCCTGTAATTCCAGAACTTTGGAGGCTGAGGCAGGCGGATCACTTGAGGTCAGGAGTTCGAGAGCAACCTGGCTAACATGATGAAACCCTGTCTCTACTAAAAATACAAAAACTAGCAGGGCGTAGTGGCAGATGCCTGTAATCTCAGCTATTGGGGAGGCTGAGGCAGGAGAATCGCTTGAACCTGGGAGGCGGAGGTTGCAATGAACCAAGATGGAGCCACTGGACTCCAGCCTGGGCTACAGAGGGAGACTCAATGCCCCCTAAAAAAGCTGGACTAACAGTTCTTATCTTACAGTTTTAATTTTTTTTTTTTTTTTTTTTTTT